CGCTAACTTGTTGTCTTCAATTTTCTTTTTCTTTTCCGCACTCCTTCACACAGCAAAGTTACTTTGCCTTCCTCATCCAGGAGCCGCCACCTTAACAGCCAAGGGAAGAAGTTCAACTTCAGGTAAAATCAGTGAAAATAAGCAAGTCACCACTTTCATGTAAGCTGGTGGTTGGGTTAAAGACCAAACTAAATATGTTATTGCCTTATGAGCATTTTGTAATGTATTAATCATTAATTTTTAATCCAGACTCTGAAACGGTACAGTCACAGTAGCAGAAAATACAGCTACATGCACACCTGAGAGAGCAAGCCACGGCATCACAGAATGGCCTGGGTTGAAAAGGACCACAATAATCATCTGGTCTCAACCCCTCACTGTGTGCAGGGTCACCAACCACCAGGCCAGGCTGCCCAGAGAAAGAGAAGAGTTCTATAGAGGTCCATAGGAAGAGAACTTCATCAGTGACACAACAGTAATTACTTCAGGCCCTGACAAGTAAGAAAACATGAAAACAAAGGCATCCTTACAAAGAACTCACTCCATCTAGCTGTGCTGCAAATAAATCAAGAGAAGAATAATTCATGGCACTGGCAGAGCAAAAATTACAGCATCAGAAAAGTACAAATGACCCACTTGGAGCAATAGATCTCAATCCAACCAAAGGGATTTAAAGGGAGCCTACAAACAGGAGGGGAATCAACTCTTGGAAAGGGTAGATAACAGCAGGACAAGGGGACATGGTTTGAAGTTGAGGGAGGGAAGATTGAGGTTGGATATCGGGGAGAAATTCTTTACAGAGTGGTGAGGTGCTGGAACAGCTGCCCAGAGAGGCTGTGATGCCCCGTCCATCCCTGGAGGTGTTCAAGGCCAGGTTGGATGGGGCCCTGGGCAGCCTGGGCTGGTATGAAATGGGGAGGTTGGTGGCCCTGAGTGTGGCAGCGGGGTTGGAGATTCCTGATCCTTGAGGTCCCCTCCAATGCTGGCCATTGTGTGATTCTGTGATATAAACGGGCATGAGACCTGCAGTGGAGAAATCACCATTTGGAGATCTGACTGCTCTAACTGTCGAGCAAGAGTAACGAGTATTAATATATAATTAAAAGATAGCAAACGTTTGGGGATAGGAGCAGGTACCAGGGATGGATGCTGACCAAAAGCATGTTAAAAATTAACAATCCACTGTTTGTGTTTTCAGCTCTGCTCAGTCTTCCTTCACATCTTCCACTGTAGTGGAAGGAGCAAAGCTGCAGAAGGCAGCAAATGCTTCACGTCATTCTGAGGTAATCCTGCAGAGTGCACGAAGGGCCTCACGGACAGGAGGCCCATCACAACCACATCAAACTTGATTCAGAGAAATCAAACAGCCTGTCTTATTTAAGTGAACGAACGTGCTCCCTGTTACAAACTTGCACTCCTCATGAATATTTCACTGCAAATCGCTTTCCATTTCATGATGTAATGAATAAATCAGAGTGTCAATTATGTCTTTATGCTGTCTTCCTTTATTCAGGGTCTCTTAAACCTGACCTGATTTTTCTTTCTCTTTGTATTAAAGTTCAAAGATTACCAGCTATCTAGCTAATGCTAGGAGAGAAAAAAATACACTCCCTGACAAAAACCTGCATCTATAAATCAAGGTAAGCAGAGACGATAAAGATTTTACAGAGGTCAATATCAAAAACCTCCTCAAGAGTCCCAATAACCCGCCCAGCCTAATGCCCGAGATCTGCCCAGTCCCAGAAAAGATGTCACTTAACATTCTCTTTGCTCAGTAAGAAACAGGGTTTCACACAGCAACACTTCAATGACCCACCTGAAGGAAATAGGCCTCTTCTGCTCAGCCACACCACCACTTAAACTCAGGCTCTGAACTTGAAAATCAGCAATCTACATGCATACATGTAAGCACTGCTGCTCATGACTGAAACAATAGGCATCTTCCAGGAGCAGTTTAGAATAGCTCAGGCAGGTGGGCGGAAGGCAGGCATTATCAGTTCCTAAACGGGAGGACTGTCATAAAATGTTTTTTAAAAGGGAATAGCATACTAACGTTCTGCCAGACCATATTTTTTTTTTAAATGAAAAAAGATTTGAATAACCAATGTAACAACTGCTAGGATCGTGTTTCCTCAGAGGAGGGAAAAAATCCTTGGTGTTTATCAGGAAGTTTGTTCAATGTCCCACTGTAGTAGAAGCAGAAATTCCAGGCATAACTTAAAAGGCGGTCATAAGAAACAGGGCCTTGGTTACTTTAAAATGCTCTCTCCCAGTCTGTCGCATTATTTTCATTTCTATAAAGTGTAATTTGCAATTCTGATGAAGAAAGAGATCAATCCCTCAGCTGCAGCAACTCTGCCCGAAGAAGTAAAAGCTGAAAGCCAATCACTTGCAGAACGCTCAGGTCCTTACTGCTTCATTTCTCATACAAAAGGGATGAAGAAAAACTACCACTCCCTCCTCAAAACAGAGGCACAGAATTAGCTCTGCTACCAGCCATACCACAGCCCAAGAATGCAAACCAGCTGACTGCCTAAAACCATTAAAAATGCTCAATTTGTGAGACAGTAAAAAGTAACCATCTAGCCAAACAATCCTCCCAAGCAAGGCTGTAATCCCAGCTTGTCTGCTTCCTCTTCTGAGGTGAGCGCTCACCTCAAAGCACACAAAGTACAGTTGCTGAAATCAACCCAGGCAAGTGCTCTCCTCCTAGTCATGCATGCACGTTCATGCTCTCCTTAACTGTGAGGGCGCAAAGGAGTTCCTCCAGTTACACACAGAGCAGAACGACAGAAATTATCACACTGAATGAACACAACTGGACAGCCAAACAGAAAGGCTGAAGCAGCATCAGTGGCAGCACACCTTCAGCGCTGCGCTCCGCAAGGTTTCCCTCCTGCTTTAACCCCAGAGACATCTTTTCCCTGAACTTTAAGGAGAAATTGCATTGTTTTTGCTGCAACACAGAAAGCATTTTACCAGCAGTTAGCACGTTTACTGCTTTGTTTCGCTCACATTTACAGAAGATATTTGTTTAGATGCTGCCACTGATAATGATGATGCCATTAAGTTACCAAACTCCTGCACATGCTACAAAACAGATCAAACATTTTTTCAGCCTCACTTAACACCATTTTCAAGCAGTCTTAATGCAAGTTTTTTTAGAAACAATGACAAAGGTCGGCTCTCCAAGAGAAGCACCAGGCTGCTCTAATACCTGCCTTCCTATCTGCTTATCAGCTCTGCAGTTCACTCTCACAAGCTATTTTGAAACATACAACCAAAGAAACAAAACAACTTTGTGCTTCAGGAAATGGCTCATCACAAAAAAAAAAAAAACCAACAAAAACACCTTTAACTCTACAACAGGAATAAAAACAGAGTGAAGAAAATGAGTGTATGTCCGTTAACTAATAAATTCATATGAATAATCTCTCAATCTCTCTTAAGACCCAAAATAACTGTTTAATCTGTAAGAAGCTTTCAAAGTTAGCACTCAGAAGTCTCAGTTATTTTCCACTGCAACATCACCTCTTACACATATGGCAACAGTTCTTTCTTAAATACATTCTTAAATACAAGAAAATTCACTTCAGATTAGAATGCTGCATATTGCTCTGATGATCACTTGGAGGTGAAAACATTCAAAATAGTGATTAAAGCAGTCAGTCAAACCACAACTAAGAACGTATAGTAGACCAAGTTCAGATTCAAGTGGTGCAGCTAAGAGTAATATAACTGCAATTAAATTAGAACTGCTTTGGACTTTCACTGTAAGAAGAAAGAAAAGAATTAAAATTTGTTCTTCAAACAAGATGTTTTAAAGGCAATAAAGCCCTGGGAGCTAATGTCAGATTGCAGCTGATGTTTCATTCCTATTATCCACGACTTGTTTGGGTCAATTCAAGCAAGCAATAGCTGGACCTACTGCCAGCCAGTAGTCTCTCAATACTGTCTTCTCAGGAATACCAGTTCACATTTCTCCTCCTTCTCTGCAAAAAGGATACGGGAGCAGAGATTAAAAAAAAAAAAAAAAGACACAGAAAAAAACGTTTCAAAAAGAGAACTCTGCTTCTGGTTTTTTCTATCCTACCTGAGCTATAAAAGTTAGCTTTTCTGGGGATGTTTTCTGAAGCTTCGAGGGTAAAGAATGCCACGCAAATGACAACAGATGGCCTGACTGCTACACTTGGTTTTCTCTCCCCACATCACACTTCGATACTAAGCTTGTTTATCAATTTAACATCACAAATGACACCTATCACAACAAGTTGAGCTCCTGGATGCCAGAGCTGATCTAATAAAGGCGTTCACACCCGTATTTACTACTGCCACACAAGGTCACAGACCCCTACCAGGAAGCAGGAGACTTAACAGCCAAAACTCACCCTTGTTTCCAAAATAAAGCGGCGGCACCAGCAAGAGGGCACGCACACGTCCAAGCACACTCGTGCTGGGAAACGCCGCTTCACGGCACGGCTGTACCTGCGTGAAACAAAGCGGCGAACCCCGGCCGAGACACGGGACGGGGCCGAACGCGAAGGGAAGGGATCGCCGGCGGAACGGCCGCCGGGAAGCGGCGCCCGGACCGGGTGCGATCCGGGGCCCCAAAAGGCGGAGCGGCCGGTCCCGGTTGCAGGGAGCGTGGGAAGGACGGCGGGGCCGAGCGGGAGGGAAGCGCGCAGCGCCGGAGGACGCGGGCGGGAGCCGGGCGGCCCCGCAGACGGGCCGGAGGTCCCGGGACCGCCTCCGCGGGGCGCGGAGCGACGCCAACAGCCGTGCCCAGCCCCGGCTCGGCCCGGCGGGGCAGGGCTGCTAGGCGGAGCCGAAGCCCCCAGGGCGGCCTGGCCTACGCCCGCGGGGTCCCCGCGCCCCTCGCCTGTGCCGCCTCGCCCGGCCGGAGCCGAGGAGAACGACGGAGCCGCCGCGCCGCCCCGCGGGGTCCGATCCCTGCCCATTCCCGAAGCCTCCGCCCCTCCCGTCGAGCCCGCTCCTCTCACCGGGCGCGGCGGCGTAGCAGCTCCTCCGTCCCTCGGCCAAGATGGCAGCCGGTCCGAGCCCAACCTGAGGCAGCGACTTTCCAAAGTCGGGCGCGATCTGCGCGCGCGCGGAGTCGCCGGAGCCACGGCGGCCGAGCCGCCACTACAAGTCCCGGCGTGCCCCGCGCGGGGAGCTGCGCGTGCGCACTGCTGCCGGGGGGGGGGGGTAGTCGCCTGGCGGGGCGGGTCGTGCCGCGCGCGGCCGCAAGAAGCGCTGCTGTCGGTGAGGCCGTGTTGGCGGCTCGCTGGTTGTGGCTTTGAGACGGGATTAAAGGGGTTTTTTTGTTCGTTTTTAATGCATCCACGACAAACACTTAAGATTTTGATATTAATCTTAATAAAGCCTTTTTTGTTGTTGTTTGAAGTGACTTCTTTTTCATTACCAAGGTGCCTGTAACACAACCAAACGTGTAGAAATAACAGCGCTTGGCCTCATTTGACAGTGGGGTATGAAGGTGCAGTTTCCAGGCTATGAAATCGGAGAAAAGACTCCTTAATTCTCCAAGTGTAGAAAGGCCCTGCTAATATTTTAGTGAAATGACTTCTTTAGAAGAGCGGATTTTAGTTTTCTTAAAACTGTTGGGCTCTGAAGCCGTCCCCAGGTCACACACAAATGCCCACAGGGCAGCTCACGCACCAGAGCCACGTCAGCATTCCTGTAGGTGAGGTCAAGGCCAGCAGGCAGCTGGCCTTCAGCAGGATGGCACCCATATCAGTGCCCACCATCCTGTTAGCATAAGATTCTGCCTTGTGCACCCCACCCAAAAGCAGTCATCTCTTCTCCATCATCACAGTACAGAAAGCTGCCCCAGGACAGTAAGGCTCAGGCTGGCTTTATCTGGAGTTCCACATCTGCTTAGCTGGGTTTCCTTTGTGGTGTGCTTCTTCTATCTCACAGCTGTTTATTACATTGTTTTTGCAGACTGCCTGTGGTATCCCAAAAGTGTAGGTGCCTTGTGACCCTTTACCCTGGCCATGGGAGCTAAGTTTGTAGTGTTAGGTTGGCGTTTTCAGGAAGGAGTGCTGCTCCAAGCACACACAGTGTGACTCCTATCCAATGCAACAGACGTGCATGTATCACCGGGGGAGCGTGGCTATTTGCAATCTCTGTTTTTATCTTTTAGGCTTTCAAGGTAAAGGTTGCTAAAGCAGATTAATGACACTCAATATTGCTTTTCAGAGACACCCTGTAATTTCTCCTGTTAAAATTTTTTTCCTCCATTTGTAACTTGCATTGGGAATAAAAATGTTATTCAGCATCAGCAACCCCAGTCTTTTTTTTTTCCAGCTTTTGATGCTTGAAGTCAAGTTCCACTGGTGTTACCTGTAAAATTCATAAACAGAATGCATTCCAGGTGCACAGATTACTGATTATTTTATGCTTCCAGGACAAGATGAATGTCGTGAAATCTTCCCATTCAAACTCTTTCATAATTTTCCCTGTTAAAAATCATAGCCTTTCTGTGAACTGCTATACCAACACTGAATAATGATTTAACACCAGAATGGCGCAGCAAATGCAGATTAATTCAGTGTTAGAAGTGACCCCAGCACCTCTTCCAGCAAATTGTGTTCCAAGTACTTGCCCCCTGTGTCCTGCTGAATTGGAGTTACTCCCTTCCAGAGGCAAGACTGTCTTGGACCAGTTGCATTTATCTTTGTTGAGTTTCTTGAGATTTTATCCACCTTCATTTAGGACTTCACTAACACTGTACAATTCAACAACAAAAAGCCAGTCCTGGTACTGAAGGGCCCACGGTGACCATGGAAGCAATTCTGATGGTGTGAACACTTACCTGTTCTGGGCTAGACACAGCCCCAAGCAAATATCACACAATGACTGTTCAGTAGTCATCAAATGTCATCAACTTCCATTAGCTGCTAAGCTATTTTAAATCTTTAATAACGGCTTAACACTTCTGCCTGACTTAAGGTTTTGTGAAGCTGATGACTTGTAAGTGTACGAATATTTCATTTTCACAACATTTTTTTTACAACTGGATTTCAAAGTACTTTGTAAACAACTATGAAGCAAGTCATCTTAAAAACAAGTCTTCTTGTGTTAGCTGGATAATTGCTGCAGAGAGTGATTTATAATTTAAGATCAAACTTATTTTGAAATTATCATCCTTAAAAAGATATTATTTTTGCGCTGTTTTATAATCAGTTGTTTTCACTCATGAACATAGAAGTATGGTGATAGAGCATGTATAATTCTAACTACCTTTAAAATCCGTATTGATTACTTTGACTGGGATTTAGAAAAATATCAGTAGGAAAATATCAATTAGTTCCTGCTAACTGGAGAAAGAATGAACAAAACCTTCAAGGTTGGCAAAGCACTGTTATTACTTCCAAGTAATCTAATTAAAAACAAAGACATGTGGCTATTTAATTACTTTATCATTCAATTGCTCTCCAGTGCATAATCAGAGAACCAGGAGGAAGTGATTAGCTGTCTTGGGAAAGGAAATGACACAGTCAAGATATATGAATGTTTTAAAGGAAGGACGAGGTACTGGGAAGATTGTTACTGTCTTCCCACACAGAAGGATGAATGTGAATTTTTCCTGGGACTGAAGAACATTATACTATAAATTTGCTGGGGATTTTTTGGGAAAAGATAGGGCATGGTGGTGCTGGGACGTGTGAAACTTAGAATCATGGAATGAATCATAGAATCATAGTTTCTATGATTCATAGTTTCATAGGTTTGGGTTGGAAGGGACTCTTAAGATCACCTCGTTCCAACCCACTGCTATAGGCAGGGACACCTCCCTATAGGCCAGGCTGCTCACAGCCCATCCAGCCTGACCTTGAACACCTCTGGGGGAGGGCATCCCCAACCTTGCTGGGCAACCTGTTCCCAGATATCAGGAATTTCTTCCTGATATCTAATCTAAATCTGCCCTCTTTCACTTTAGAGCCATTTCCCCTTGTCCTATTAACTACATGCCATTATAAGGAGGTCCTCCCCAGCTTTCCTGCAGGCCCCTTCAGGTACTGGAAGGCTGCTATAAGGTCTCCCGAAGAAGAGCCTTCTCTTCTCCAGGCTAAAGAGGAGAGGTGCTCCAGCGCTCTGATCAGCTCCATGGCGCTCCTCTGGACCTGCTCGCACAGCTCCACGTCCTTCTTGTGTTGGGGGCCCCAGAACTGGACAGTGCTCCAGATGGTGTTTCATGAGAACAGAGCAGAGGGGCAGAATCACCACAGCTTACTGTGTGTTCTTTGTTTGGAAACTTTGCCCTGCTCTTGTCCTCACAGAGGTCTTGCAAGCAGCCTGAAGTTCAGCTGGATCAGTGGTGAAATGGCACTGCAGGTTTACAGGATCCAGAGGCAGCCCTTCAGTCCTTGCTTCGGCCTTGTTTTCCAGACCCTACGTCTAGGAACACATGCTTTTACTCCATTTCAGGAGTAGGATACCTGCTTCTGCCAGGCTCTGTAAGAAGTGTTTTTTAAACTTCGGGCCCAAAGTTTACTCCTGTCCCACCCTGAGACCCACCCTCATTTGTACAGTTGCTTATTATTTACAACAGAAAGACTGAATCATTCCCTGACTGTTTACCTCCTTGCAAATTGTTCTGGTATAAATTAGCTTGTGTTTCAGAGCAGAACAGGTGCTGATAGAAAGCTATGTAATATCAAAGCTAACACAAAGGAAGAAACTACAATTGAAATAACTGGGGTTTGAGCCAAAGCCAAATAAAGCCAATAAACTTTTTTTCCACTGTTCTATTCTCCATTTTTAAAATTTTTTTCACTTTCAGGACTGTGTATCTTCTTTATATAGCCCCTTTTACCAGGACACCCAAATGCTCTCCACTAAAAATTACAAAACATCCCAAGCTATAAATTCCCTTGAGGAAGACATCATGTGATGTGTCTCACTAAGTCTGTTTGTCCCTTGGAGCTGCAGCATTACACTTCTAAGTAAGAAAATGTGAACAAAAGCTCTGGTCTTGGACTACAGGGAAACTAACAGGAAAAGATTTTAGCTATCTCCTGCTAGTAATAGTCTCACTCTTTCACTCTATTTATTTTACCCAGCCTTTTTTATATGCTCAGTAAGCATGAAGTAACTGGGCAGCTGAATTACAGACTTCAGGTGAGGAACAGGAAGGGCAGGAGGCTTGCTGTACCAGTCCCATCGCATGCCATTAACATACCACATGCAGTGTTTGGAATTTCCCAGACTGGTTTAAGGGGGAATTTACTTGGTTAAACTTGCTCTACGAGGCTTAGGGCTTAGTCCTCAGTTCTTGTTGTGCTCATGCTCGCTATGACTTGGAGGCAGGAGATGACGTTGCATTGTCTTACCACCAACCCAGAGTCCCAGGATCCCAGGGACTGAACCAGACTCTTGTTTATCAGGTTCCCCAGAGAAACAAAACCTGACATTTTTTCCCTTGTTGGGGGAATAGTGAAAATAATAGTTAAGAGGTAAAATTAGTTCAAATGTCTCTTCATACTAGTTCACTTTTGCTCCAGTTCATGCTTGCAGTGGCTGTATAGATAGCATGTTCTCAAGTAAATAATTTCTAGGATCCTTGCAACATAGACATAGCCTTCTTTTAACCCTTGGACTACCCTTACTCCTCCAAACGGAACCAGTTTGATCATACCAATCTCTTATGCAAATGTTGGCAGTCCTCCTCTAAAGGGAAGTTGAAATGAAGGCTCCCTCTGCCCTCTGTTGGGCAGTTAATGACAGAAAGTGGTAGCACAAACACATTCAGAACCTGGTAAAGTGTGGTATGTCTCTACCAAGGAGCAGGGAAGAGAAAGCTGCAGTGAATCTGGAATTTGATGAATTTAACACCACTGGGACAACTGGTATAGTCATTTACATTACAGTAATAGAAATGTTGCTGTAGTACAAGTCAAAGTTGAACTATATCCCCAGTTTTGTTATTCTGTATTGCTGCAAAGAGCAATATAATGAAACAGCATTGTGAAGGACTTTGTAAAAACATATGAGGTCATACATGAGCTTCTGCTAGAGACAGGCAGGCAGAGGTCACTTGCAGCCTGAGCACGTTTGTGAGTACTATGGCATGTATCTATGCTGCCTGTAATGACACTGTACTAAA